GTTTTCCTATTAGTTTCGTCATCAAAATTACACGACTGTCCTATATATTTCTATCCAAGGTAATATATTCATTATGTATCTGTTCTTTAGTTTCAAAACATATAAAAATTAAAACTAATATTCATTTGATATAAATCTGCTTATATGCTGGTGCCTGTACCATTTTTACAAAATTAATAGCTGTTTAACCTTCCCATGAACAGAGACTGATGATAAGAAAAACGAGCAAGCATGAGCTGTTAAGATACTTCTAGCGCCATTTAGGGCACGATGTCGATATAAAAATATTTAATTTTAGGAAAGAAAAGTATGTTCTATTATGCTAATAATGTTGTTTAAGAAGAATAGTTCTGGAATGGTAAAATAGGTTCCAGAACAGCACTATCCAGATACAAATTTCGATCCAAAAAACCACTATTAATACTTTGATTATTTGTTCATCAAGTAGAAACAGGACATACAAATAAACCCTTTTAAGTGACTATAAGTATACTTAACTTAAAAGTACATTTTGATTACTCCTGAAAACACTAAAAAGTACTGATACTACCATACGTTTAATTGATAAGGTAGCTTAAATACTTTGTAGTAAGCAAGCTATTACTTATGAAAAAAGAATCACTAATAGGCAATCAGTACTCCCATGATGGAGTAAAAGACCTTGATTTTTCTACTCATACTAGTAAAATCGATTATTACCTACAACGACTCACTTACAACGCTGTTCTATCTACAGTTTACCCCTTCTGATAAAAATGTGAAAGTCGCATCTGTTGGCATCTACTATTATTCAATATTCTTTAATACTATGAGAACAGAAATATATGATTCTTTCTAGTGATTAGCTATTACCGATGATCAGTCATTATTATCGACTATCCATGTCCCTTTTAACTATCATGATTTGTTCTTCTCTCATAAATGCGTGTTACAGTGATATCGCAAATACCGGGTGTTGCAAAAGTTTTGCGAAATTTTTTATTTTGCATATATCTCGACTTGAGAAAATGATAAAGTCTTGATTTTGTTCTGAGAAGATGCGCCGTGAAAAGCTCTACAAAAAATGTATAAAGAGACTCCTATTCACTTGTTCTGATGGTTTTTCCACGCTCAATATGAACAACCTATATGATAGTGCTACTTCCCAGCGTAATAAAAATGTTTGAAAGACATTTTTTGTTTTGCATATATCTCGGATTGAGAAAATGATAACATCTTGACTTTTTTTTTGAAAGATGCGCCGTTGAAAGCTCTACACAAGCTGTATGAAAAAGATCCCTATTGACTTGTTTTGATGATTTTTCTAGAGTGAATATCTGCGTGATGTTGTTACGGGGTGCTCTAAAATGTTTGCGACATTTTTTATTTCGCATATATCTCTACTTGAGAAAATTATAAAATGTTGATTTTGTTTTCAAAAGATGCGCCGTGAAAAGTTCTACAAAACCTGTGTAAACAAATCCCCTATTGACTTGTTCTGATGATTTTTCCTAAATTCCAAATGAACAACCTACATGATAGTGCTACTTTCCAGCATAATAAAAATGTTTGGAAGACTTTTTTGTTTTGCATATATCTCGGATTGAGAAAATGATAACATCTTGATTTTTCTTTTAAAAGATGCACCGTAGAAAGCTCTACACAAGCTGTATCAACAAATCCCTATTGCAAAACAAAAAACATCTTCCAAACATTTTTGTTATGCTCAATACGCTGGGAAGTAGCACTATCATGTAGGTTGTTCATATTGAGTATGGGAAAACCATCAGAACAAGTGAATAAGAATCTCTTTACACAGTTTTTGTAGAGCTTTTCATAGCGCATCTTTTCCAAAAAAAATCAAGGTTTTATCATTTTCTCAAGCCGAGATCTATACAAAATAAACAATGTCGCAAAACTTTTGCAACACCCGGTATACATATCCACTATCTGGTGTTATTCTCTACTCTCCTTTATCTTTAATACGCCTCTGTTATGTTTTTCATTCTTTATATATTCACCTAGAGTGCATATTTAGTTTATTTCATTCGTTCTGAAGTCAAGATTAAAGTGCATACCTACAGGATGGAAGCATGGGTGTCGATGTGGGTGTGGATGTGGAGGTGATCTAGTTATCTTCCGACACATCCACACCCACACCACAGATCGTTTGCTCATCATCTCTGCCTTTCTTTCATTATGGGCTGAATATTGATGTAAATGAGTAAATCAGTAAATGCATCGCTGGCACACGAATGATACCAATGTGAATCAAATTGTATGTTCGCAATAACGATGCGAGCAAAAATAACCGCAATTTTCTTTTTTCACCTTTGCTTTTAAGCACTCATCAAGAGACAAAATACTCACACATATAATTTCGCAAAACATGAATTTTTTGAGTCACATTGCGTAAACATGTTTGCTTCGTTCCAAAGTAAAAGTTATAGGGTTTTTACCGTGATGAAAACAACAGCAATGTAAATTTGTGAGTCACAATATATATTTATGCGTGATCGAATGGTAAGAACACATGTAAATCTAGAAACGTCTATTGAATTATTAATTAACCAATGAACTATGAATATTTCTCTTAAAAACAACATGAAAATTGGGGCGAACAATTGTTGTTAACGAATATTTGCTTGTTTTAAATCAATGGATATGCGTCACTGAATGAAAGTCAAATTTCAGTTCGATCAGATATTTACACAGTCGAATGAAATAACATCTTTTTGTTTCTTACTAGCGCACGGTTTGAAACTACAAATTTTTTCAAAGAGTTTGTCTTATTGATTCAAACAAGTACTCAATCTATCTCATACAAGGACTAATAAAGAAAGCAAAGAGGCTTTTTCTTTGACCATTTTCATAAAGAATTTTCTAAAGCCATAACTTTATTATTTCTTTTTTGTAAGATAATTGATATTTCAGAGTATGTTGTGTGAATAATCAACACATTTAGTTGCTTTCAAAGAGATAGTAAAAGCTGAGAGTATGGGAAAATACGGGTTTAGACAGCATCCAGACTCAAACCCACATCTTACTATTAAGAATCCGTGACTTCCCAATCACTAATTAATGGCAACTACACTTATGTTGAACTGTATAATCCCACAAGACACTTGATATGTGATATTTGAAAAAGTTAGTTCTGTTCAACTTTTCATACATATCTCTTGCTGTATTACGCGACCAAGTTCGCTAACTTATTGAATTAGTCGTAATGTACATCGAGGAATCAATTTAATGCTGTTCTTTGGATAGTTCTTAAGTAGTGATAAAAACTCGATCCGGACTAATTCCACTATAGAAAAGCCAAATTTGAGAATAAATTGGATCTAGTGAATACAGATGATGGTCTTTTCAATGCATATTAAAAAAAAATGAAAATCTTAAATATTGATCGGTGCCTCGACTTCTTAGCTCTCTCATCAACTCTCTCTTGAGACACTGAAAAGAAAATCGCATTCCTCCATCTTGGTCACTTCTGATCAAACTTTATAAAAAGAATCATTATTTTTCCAAAATATCCTCTACCTATCAAGAAATTGGATTGAGGAGTTTTAAGAAATCGATTGCAGATACGGATTCTCCCATCCCGTGTACATTCGGTGAAAGTTTTGCAAAAACTTGTTTAATCCTCGAAATACTCTTTCTTAATCCGAAAGATCAGATGATAAATTCCCAGTTTCTTGTTATCTAGCAAGATCACGATAGCTTTCCTACTCTAGATGAAAGTATTAATTAATAATATTGAATTAAGTTTCAATTCATTCAAAGTAGTAAGAACTCATTAGTATAACAGTATAGACCAGTTGATAGCTTATGAAGCAAACTATGGTACCATATCAAGTAGTTCAATGTGTATGATATTCAATAGATACTTCACCGTATTTTAAAGTACAAAAGTATCATGTTTACTCCTAGACACCACTCTACATCCTTCATCGTAAAAGAGCAGGTTTTGCTATTAAAATATATTTAAGCTTTGGTTCACTATTATAACAATGGATTTTTACAAATAAATCTTATATTTATTGACCAAATTCAAGAAAAAACAATAGTCAGACAAATAAATATAGTTATTGAAGATATTTTGTTTTAAATTTATATTTTTTATCTGATTTGATAGCTTTTAATAATTCTTCATTATTGTCATACTAAATCTTCTATCATTTATTAAATGCTTTATTTGTGAAAATGTTGATTCAATATGAGCATTAGTGCAAGTTAATGAAAATAAATAACAAATGAGCTTCTTAAAATTTGGTGATTCGTTGAAAGAAAACAAGAACATCCATAACTGATCAGTTCTTATTATTTTGTTGCCAGTTGAATAATCATCATCAGCTTCTTTTGCATCATCACATTACGTTCACTACTGCTATATTATTTATAAAAACAAAAGAATAGATCAAAGACATCACCAACTATTGATAAGAATTCTCTTTTTATTTTAAAAATAATCTTTCGAATATAAAATATTGAATGGAAATATAAATAGCACAATATTAAAAAAGCAGAATTTTTCTGCTAAAAACAGACAAAGTAGCAGGTCTGGTTATGTGTTTTTGTTTTTCAAGGATCTTTTCATTCTGTTCAAGTAGGCGAACTATTTGATTGACTGAGAGAAAAAGGAAAGAATAATTTTTTATTTTTCATACATTTACAATATCACTCCATAGAAACAAAATAAGAACTTTCATAATTATAATAGTCATATTAATGGAGCTGAAGGGAAAGAAAGAAATTTTGAATGTGCACATACCGTTGCATGACATTGTAGACGATTGAAAGAACGAGTTTTTGAGTTACACGCAATCAGAATAATGAATAAAACCTTCATTTGAGTGAAAACTAACAACATTTTAAGACTATATTCGGAAAATAGTAAGCTTAACTTTAAAAGAAATTCAGCTTTCTTGCTGAATGAGACCGTTCTTTTTATCATTAAAGCAAAAGAAAAGATGAATGATCCTTCTTTTTATTTGATTTGCTAGATATTTCAAAACATAATAATGTCGGAAACCAAAGAGTGGTCTGAATTGGTTGGACAAACATTTGAAGCAGCATCTCAAATAATTTTACAATTCGATAGCAGTAGGTTGAACTATTCAATATAAATTTATTTTTTCTTTTCCGTCTCTTGTTTTCACGATAGTCTTAAATCCATACAATGCAAGGAATGGAATACAAAATGAAAAGTTCGATCCAAATCATGTCGTATGTGTTACAAATAATGATGATATTGTAATTGAAGTTCCGTCTTATACTTATCCATAAAGTATAATAATAATTAAAACTTGAAAAACTTTTTAGTTTAGAAACAATACAAATTGTTGCTTTATAAGATCATACAAGTATAAATAATGTAACTGTCATTTGTCTTACATGTTTATTTTTATTCGAATATAAATTTAAAAAAATTAATTACTGTCGTTGATGTGTGAACAAATGAAATAGACACCAAGAGAAATCTGAATACATGTTGATGCATACTGCGAAGCTCAATTTTGGCATGAATAGACTCTGATGAAATCGATGTATTTTGTGATTCACAAACCTATCGGTCGACCTGTTGAACATACAGCAGCAGTGAGTATTTACAAAAGTAATAGGAAAATTGATTCGTATTAGTAATAATGGCTGTTGGAATATATAGATCTTTTTCAATCCCAAAAAAAAAATATTACTATTCATTATTGAAATAACAATAAAAAAAAAAAGTTAATTTGAAGTTATATTTGTTGAAAAAATTTTGTTCAAAATTAACATTCTATGAATGTGTTCTTTATCAATGTAAATTATGGACGCATATGACTAAATGTCTTCTTTTAAATGAAACAGATTGTCAAGAAAATTTCTGTTTACTTGAAATCTTATTGAGAACCTTTTGAACGCATGAAAACTATTGTTTATTACACTTTGTGTATAATATTTATCGCATAAATTTTTGTATTTAGCACTCAATAAGAATTTCAGATTGTGTTACTCAATCTTTCAAGACGTTATGAGTATCTTTGTAGCATCACTCACGCTCACGTCTTTTCAGATCGTATTTTCTGCGAAAGTTTATTTGTTGCCAATAATAATTTCTGTGTACAACAATTTTTTTCTACATAAATTCTTGTTTCATATTAAGTTATTGTCTATTTTAATATATACTATTTCTTCATTCGTTGGTTCAAGAAATCGAAAATTAGATTATATCAGGAAGATTGTTCAGGTTTTTATCTAGACTAAGACGCCTACTTATGAGCAAAATATGAGCTCAAACGTCTGTTATCAATTAAATGCGTTTCCTCGCTCGTTGAAAAAAAATTGAAAGTTAATGAATCATGTCACAAAGTTGAAAGCAACTGAAAACTTATCGAAGGAAATATTCGTTAACTGCTCTGATTCTGAAAAATTTGATAAGTAGCATTCAGTACAGTCATAGCTGGCAAGCTCAGTCTTGCGTTAGATCAATAGAGTAAAAGCTAGGCTGTCAACCCATTATATTATAGTTGAGAAAGCATATTGTTTTCAAAAACAATTAAGGTCATCTTCTGAACTTAGGGCTTATCCCAGAAAAGAACCGAATGGAATTTTTCGTCGGATTTGTTAAAAGATAGAGCAACTTCGAATCTGAATAGTGCTTTAAATTCGAGTTTTATTTCTCTTTTTGTTTCAAAGTTATTCGAAAAATGACCATAGCCATTCAACTCTGATATGAACATTAAAGAAAGTAAACTATTTTTCAACACTTTTTGGGTACTTGGCTGAGTTGTTTTTTATTATATTCTGATGCCTTCTGATATTTGTAATATTTATGACCTATTTTCTGCAAATTATAATAAATAGTTGATTGTGTGGTGTCGGTAGACCAATGTCATAACATTTAATTATATTATAAATTATTCTTCTTATCAAACCTTCTTTCATAAAATGTTTTAATATATCACTTTTTTTGCAAATTATTGTTCTATCCAAGCATAATATGGAGATGCTACGATGATCAGCCATTTTCACAACAAATGATCGATCGAGAAATGTGAAATTAATAGTACAGATACAAGATAAGTTAAGCGATGTAACCAATAGTAAAACTATTCTGATAGCTTTTGTGAATATGTTTCAGTCTTCAAACTTCTGTGAAAAAAACTTTTCAATCATCCGTTATTTTGTCCATATTCGTACAGTACAGATTCTTTTTGAATAGATTGAAGATATATGGACTTAAAGTTGAATGCAACAAAACATTGCGAACATATATATTGCGAAAAATGCTTCATTCACTGATTCACCAAAGACTTGGTCGATCAACACATTTATCTAGAGTAGAGACCTTTCTCAGATGAACAAACATCTGTAGGAGGTACAGAAAAAAACAATAAGTTAGCGCTATGATGAATCCCACCAAAATATTCTCGAGTATGGATGTAATTTGTATAATTCTTATTGGAGAAAGATATAATCGTAAAAAAAACACCTAGAAATTAGTATGAAGAATGGTGACGATCTTTTAATAGGGCAGTAGATCTTATTCAATTACATTTTTGTTGATCTCTAAAAATCAATATATTGTCCGCCTTCAGTAGATGACTCGATAACTATCTAATCTATTTCATTGAAGCTCAACTTATTGACGTTTGTTTCCGTTCAATGACGATACATTGAGAGTTTTGCAAGAAAGTTAGATGTGAGCATAGAAAGTCATCAGTCATTTTTTTAAACATTGCTTCCGATGCAAAATAAACCACAAGACAAACTCTATCGCATTTGTCTCCGGTTGATTTATTCGCAGAAAAGATGAGATTATGATACTGTATTCAGCTGCCATCTATAACAGTGTGACACTGATGCAATAGAGTGCTACGAGTGGCTGCTTGTGATGTTGGAAAAAAGTGAAACTCATATTACAGTGGGAGAATTTTGAAGGAAGTCTTCGAAAGAAAAAAAATACCATATGCGTAATCAGCGTAGTCAATTACACCCGTTCCTGTCGAGAGCTTACCTTTGACTCTAAGTAAAACTCTTTCTTGCAGACAAAAAAAACCCAAAACTAACAGAAAAAAATAATCGCTTTGCACACGCGTGACGTTATAAATGCTCTTATCTGCGAATTATTCTTCCTCTTTTATTCTTGTACGTCACCCTTATTTTTCATCAAGTCTTTATTGCATCTATTAGACGATTACGAGCGCTAAGGCAAGAGAGAGACAATATTGAAAAACAAAGTAAAACACTAAATTATAAAAGTTCTAGTTGAAAAAGAATAACTGTATGGATAAAAAAGTTTTTCTTTTTATTACAGTTAAATTATGTTTTATTGAGCATTTATCAGAAGATATTTTTGCTTCTGTTATAAATATTTTTATCAATCGAAATGCTATCGATTAATGTTAATATTGAAACTTTTGAAAGAATAATATATATTCGTTCATGATAATAATATTGAATATCGTTGAAATTGTCTAAATCTTTTTCAAGTTAAACATGTAAGAATAGCAGCGGTATTCATTTTAATTTTATATTGATTCAATAAGCATTAAATCAATGTAAACATAAGACACTACCAAAATTCGTAGTTGACTTTAAAAATATGTATTTCATAATATTCAACAATACTTTTGAGAAAAATTCTTAACGTAAATAATAATAATTGTTGTTTATTTATTTTCGCTTCATATCTTAGTCTCTTAGTGCATAAATAGTTTCTTAACGAAACGTTTTTTTTTGTTCTAAGTTGTCTTCTGACACATACACATGCAGAATGAAGTTAATGAAATTTTAGAATTTCATAATATTGACTTATTTCAACAACTTTGAAATATAAATAAGTATGAAAAGTTATCATACTTGGTTGAGTAAAGATACTCAACGAAAGAAATTCAACAGTATTAAAGACAGAATAAAAATATGACTCGAAAATCGATCAATAGTAGTAATATGAAGACTATTGTGAAATATGTATCAAAATAATAATAAATTTAATTTGATATATCTTCGACAAAATAACTTAATCTTTTAGTTATTCTCATTTCATAATAAAACAGTAAAACACTATTGGAGAGCTATTTATCATTAACATAGATCTTTTTTCTAGCAAGCAATAGTAGTGTTACTCAATAAGAACGAGAACAAACGAAAGATATGTCAACACATACATAATCAGATGACGATTCATAAAAGAATGAAAATAACTTCAATAGAAAAAAACCATAAAACCGAAGAATTAGTTTCTTAATCAAATTTAAAAGGTTCTCATTTACTATAGATGATTAGATAACTTTTTTTTCCTTATGATAGTGAAATCTTGGCCCAAGACATTCGTATTATATATAGTTATTGAGTTGCATCGTCGTAATCTGTACACGCAAAATTAGCATTCGAACGGTAAAAGAATATTTATCAAACAATCGACTCCAAAGAAAGAGAACAACGTTTAACGTCTTAGTACAAAGGTTTCAAAAAGATTTTTGTTTTTCTTTTATTGATAAATGAATGTTAGAAAATATTCTAAAACAATAAAAAATAAAATACATGCTATGAATTATAATCAAACGTTTTATGTTTCTGGATGTTTCTAATAACATTGCTTTTATTAACCCAGCATAAATAGAAATTCTCAAACATATCAAACATTTTTTTGTTTTATTTTTGTTTGACATAACAATAAAAACAAGATCATTTTTTTCCTTGTTTCTATTTCTAATTCATTTTTCAATATATATGAATTTTGTAGTAATTGATGATGATATTGTATTTGAATGTTCACTAGATGCAACAAACACTTGATCAGAAAGAAGGATCATATACAAGAAAGAAAGAGGAAGTATAATTCACACATAAGAGCATTTATAAGGTGATGCTTGTGCGAAGCGGTTATCTTTTTTCTATCCTCTTTGTTTTTTTTTGTAAAAGAAAAGCTTTGCTTAGAGTCAGAGTGTACTCTTTCGAGATCTCGACAGGGACGGACGTAATTGACCACGCTGATTACTCATATGCCGAGTGATATTTTATGAGTTGGAAAAAATACTCTTAACGTCGATTTATAAAAGCTCTCAGAAGTTACGCTTATACACGCACTTTTTTCATTTTGTTTCAGTGATTCATCGCCATGAGTGCTACTCATGTTTCAAAAGATGATGGCAAAAAATTGAAAAGTAATCGTAATAGATCAGGGCAACAAGCTCAGATCGTAACCCAATCATCAACAATTGCTGAACCAGCAGTTCAGCCAGGCAATCATTACGACAATTGGTTTCTGCCACGAGGTGAATCATCGCTAAGTCAAGCTT